CTATTGACAGAGGCCGCCCAATCCACGTGTCGCGCTTCACCGTTACCTCCTGTCCGCTTCCCCGGTGCCTTCTCCATGAGCACACCACGATGCCGTGTTCGCAAGTAGTGCGATTGGGACAACTGCAACTTGAACCTCTGTGATCATCCCCCGACTTTGCACGCACATTGCATCTCGTTTGTGTGCGTCCGAAAGTGCAACATAGGACTGTATCGCTATTCAAACCTCTTGGTGCAACCGCTTTGTTGGCATACGAAACGTACTTGCCCAGCACTGTCCCCTTGCGTGTTGCCTTCATGGCTGTCATGTACGCTAGAAGCAATGGAAATTGCTGTTGCTACAGTTGTTTATGGTCCTGTCAGTGTGGAGGGTATTGGTTCGTGCCTTGAGCCTGGAACTATCGGGAGCGAAGACAGATCAGCCCTCGACTCATGCAGAACGAAAAGACGCGGTGATTCTGCCGTGTTATTGTTTTTTTCTGGTTGAGATGCTATTGACGAATGTCAGAAGAACTGTGGGTGCTGAGAGCCGTGCCACGTTGGCGATGAGGCACTTGATCGGAAAACGGGGGCCTCCGTTGTGTTTGAAGGGCGTAGTCCTCGTTGGAAGGCTGTGCACAGAAAGACCTAACTTAATGGCCTGGGACTGTTTGCGAGAGAAGTTTTCGCTTGCGCCAAGCTTTGAATGGGAAGTTTGGGACGGGTTCCAGGGTCAGTGGCGCCGTCTACTCTGCTCCTAGACTCATTTGCCCCACGTCGGAATTTGCAAACTTTTCTTTATTTTTACGCGACGAAGGCTAGTATTGTCGGCCAAATGTGTTGTCAAAGACATTCTGACCGCCTAGCGGATTTAGATATCAGTGCGTATCCAATCGGAGGTGCATTCTGGCAATAGTTGGGGGGCAGAGGTGAGAGGGTAAAGAGGCGGTGAGGGTGAAGACTCTTCAGTGGTGGTGCGGTAATGGCAAGGGGAGCACTTAGCGCCTTGGGGTTCTGGTCATCGCACCGTAAATAGACGGTATGCGCAGAAGACAACAGTAAAAATTTAGCCTTATTTTTGGGAAAATTGTTAATCTTTTTACTCTGGAAAAGTCCTTTTAAGAGCCAACTGCTGTTGGCTAACTTGGCGACGTAGCGAAGCTTTTCTGACAAGCAGTCAGATACAAAAGTCTGAAGGCACGACAAAGGGGTTATGAAAGCCTCTAGACGGTCATGCTGTAGCGGCCCCGCAGCTCCACTTCCTATGTCTGCGATAACGTTTTCCAAGGCAACATTCGCTTCGTCCAGGAACCTTTTTTCGAGGCACTGGTTGACATCATCCACGCGAACATTAATGCCCTCAAAAGGACCATCATAATTCCAGTTATCTAGCCCCCCGTTTTGCTGTGTTCTTGCACGTGCCTCCAGCTCTTCCGTAGATACCAGGGCACCTAATTCCCAGTTTTGGGATTGTTCAAGGTCGTCAAAGTGTCCAAACGCACAGCGTTCATCGTCATAATCATAATAAATCCTACTATCTAAGTCTTTGCACAGTGCAGCTCCAGATTCAGTATGGGCCAGTTGGTTGGCCAAATAGGTAGCCGGTAGAATGGACCTGATCTCAGCGCCACTGACGACTGTCTCAATCCCTAATGCGTCATCAGAGTCATCTGTAGAAGAGCTTGAACAGTTATTTGCAGCATCTTCCTGGGAGCAGGGTATATCACTCGCATCGATAGAGTCTTAAAATTTGTCCTGCATATTGTTATTGGTATTTCCCGACACAGACACACGTTGATGTACTTGAGATAGCTGTTCCACACGCAAAATATTATTACCTTGACCCAATGCATCTGGCGATGGCAGTTGAACGGGCGCTAATGAATTTTCATACTGTCCGGAGTCTGGCGATCGGCTCCGCGGAGAGCTCTCGAGATGTATGTGAGCCGATCCAGGAGATTCGTTTTGTGTTGAAGCAATACTGATAGACTGTAGTCGACCTTCTCCAGCTGCCCCGAACTCTGGTTGGCTTGTTGGGAGAACATTTTCGACTGCATGAGGAGCACTGGCATATTCTCCAGAGTTGTCATCTAATAAAGCTTCATGTGCCAAGGAGTCAAGACTATCATTCGCACAAACGATCTGTGACGGATAGGTTCTGCCGGATGAACATAAGTTATCGGACATGCCAGGTTCGGGTTTTGAGGTTCGCCCGATACGATGGGCTGGAACGAAATGGGTGCAGAAGATCAAGTTGGACACATAGGACGGTAAGAGAGAGTGCAGAATGTGGTATCATTGCCAGGATGTGTACAGTACCCGACGGCGCCTGTTCATTACAGGCGCACGCCCACACGTGTGCATTACACGCATACGCGCACGCGCACACGGGCATTACAGGCGGACGCCTACACGTGTGTCTTACAGGCGGAAGATCTACTGTATACATTACAGCCCGGAGGTTGTATATGACAAGGTACAGTAGTAATGGCACAGTACAGTGCATTACATAATAGAGTACAGTAGTACAGTAGGACGGACAATGTCCAAGACCCCGCGAACTCGCTTATTTAAGCGACGGCGCCGGGCAATGACAGTAAACAGTCAAGGATCTTTTGGGAACGGATTTGCTTCGACGGTGCGACACCGCGGGTCAAAACAAGCCTCTGACTTAGGCGACATTGTCGGCATCTGTCTTGCGACCTTTCCCTGGCTTCTATTGCCTTTACTTTACCTTTTCCATTCCTCCGTCTTTGCGACTACGCGGGTTAAGACTAGCCTGTAACCTCGGCGTGTTTCTGTCGCTCAACGTTTCAATTGTTTTCCTTTTTACTCTGTCGTTGCGACCACGCGGGCTAAGAATGGCCTCTAGCCTGGGCGTATTACTGTCGCACGACCTATTTCTCTCTCCCTGTATTGTGACGATTGTCAAGTCGCGGGGTACGACAAGCCTCTAGCCTTGGCGGCACTATTGAAATCTGTCCCGCTCGTTCCCTCTAGGAGTTTCCGCTACTCGGCGCTCCGCCTGTGTCTGACACTGGTCTTTAGGCTCGGGTTCATCCCTGTTTTGTGTGTTGTTACACCACCCCTTCCAGTGCTGGTCCCATTCCGGGTCCGCCCTTCGACCAGTACGTCGTGCTTTTACAGTCGGCCGACGTACTTCCCCTTTGCTCTACCACAGTCCCGATCTACCGCGGGACACCCCCTATTGGTTGGTTGTTACCTCTTCCTCGAGCTAGCTCATATCTGGCGACCGCCACTATACTACAATGGTCTCCCGACCTAGAAGAGGTTAACAACCAACTACAACTACTTTTGCTGGCAAGAAGGGATGGATGTGTCAAGCGCAATACGAATGAATCTGGCTCGTCGCCGTGTCGTTCGCTCACGATCGATGTAATCCTTCCGAACTCAAATTAACCCGCCGTTACGGCAACAAGCTGATTTAACAGCTGCAATGGTCGCAAAGACCAAAGAAGCACCGAGCCAACCTGGCAAGTATATAGGCGCAGGTGCTTCCGTCCAAAGCCTGGCCTCCACATATTCTCGAGATGGGCCGTCGGATGAGAGCATTCCCGCAAGAAGTACTGCATCGTCTGAAGAATTTTGGCAACAGATCAAATAATTCGTTTCCGACCAGATCGATGCCAAACCAAAGATAGCCATCCCGGCTATTCGTCAAGAGACAGGAACACGCATTACAGACCAAGCCTATGGCATCTACGACGACACTGTGTCATTGCAGAACCATAAGGCACTAGTAGCCCGTATGCAAGCGTCAGAAAGACAAATCAAGGTCTTACGAGACAAACTGGATTTATTCCAACGAAAAAGTGGTCCTAAAAAGGCTACATATGACTCCCCGACACGCCAAGCTCACCGTCACAGAGTTTCTTCCTACTCAGATCAGGATGAGAGCGATGGCTCATTATCGTCTTTTGACATCACAACCGAAAAAATTCTTGAACGACCATATGGTCTACCCCGCTGGATTCGACTTGACCAATATCAGATGAACCCCATCTGCGCCTTGTCTACGTACAAATACAAGGTCGCTGCCCTCATTGGCCTCTCGAAGAAATCATTGGGAAGTGCGCTTACCGTCTTAGACACGCGAGCAGGTCCAAACTTGATTCGGTTGGACATGCTGTCACCGGAAGCACGAAGTCAACTTGACAATTCAAAAGAGCTGGTCTCTTTGTCAAGCGTCTCGAATCACCGGCTTGAAAGTGTTGGAATAATCCACCTTGCAGTAGCGGTAGGCAGCTATCACACGACACAGCCATTCATCGTCGTACGACAATTAGGCGCAGACGCCATATTGGGTTGTACGTTCCTGGACGACCATGTTTCCGCCGTTCATATCCGAAGAAGATCAGTCGAGCTACGCTCCGGAGATGAAGTCCCTATTCAAACGATACCTGTGATGACGCCCATCAGGAGTCGGACACGGGAATTCACCGACGTGAATACGAAACGAAACGGAGATATATTTCTCAGAGTTACAAAGGCCGTCAAAATTCCGGCAGGCACGTAAATGACTGTTCAAGTCACCTGTACAGCCTCTTGAACTGTAGTCCTAGAGACAAGACCGGAGTTATATCTCAGAAAGCAAGTCAGTTTGTCCAATGGACTTGCCAACATTCGGACTCATGTCCCATTTTTAGTCCGCGTTGCAAACTTTTCCAGGTCAGCGACCAAGCTCCAAAAACGAGAGCGGGTTGGAATTGCAGTCACGGCCCCCAATCAAATTCTGTCAGTCGACTTCGATTAGCCAAGTGGCGCCCAAGAAACGTCACAAGGTGAGGAGGGGCAGGACCTGGCCTTCTTTCGCTCTTACGCCCGGAAAACATTAGTCACGAAGGCGAGGAGTCGAAATCGACAGATACTGATAACTTCGATCTCGACTACCTTGGACATGTTATCCGCCCTGGAATTCTGGCTGTTACTGAGAAGAATACGGATGCCATCAAGAGGGCACAAGAGCCGACGACGCAAACTGAGCTTCGCTTCTTCATCGGCATGTGCAATGTGTATGGAAGGTTCGTGCCGAACTTTGCACGAACTATGGAACCCCTGAACGCCCTTTTGGCAAAGGGGAAGCTTTTCCAATTAGAGAAATTCTCTGCAGATCAATCCATGGCTTTTGGGTTATTGGAGACTGCGCTTGTAGGGCCTCCTATTCTTAAGTTACGGCGCTCGAACCTGCCTTCCTCAGTTGACACCGATGCTTGTGAGCGACAAGTGGGCCGTGCTTTGTTCCAGACCCCTCCAGACGGTCTTCGTCACCCGGTAGGACTTTGGAGCCGCTCCCTGAATCCAGCTGAGAAGAATTACAGCGTCGGGGAAAAAGAATGCCTCGCCATAATTTGGGCATTGCAGATCTTGAGACCATACCTCGAGCGGAAGCACTTAGAGCTCTACCCCGACCATCAATCCTTAAAGTGGATGATGAGTCTAACAGACGCCAGTGGCAGGCTTGCTCGATGGCGTCTCCGCCTACTGGAGTTCGATTTCACAATCAAGAACCGCAAAGGGGCAGTGAACTGCATTGCAGACGCTGTGTCAAGGCTGCCGACATTGGCGAGTGTGCGGTCGAACCTGACTCAGACATTCTGTGTTTCTGGGTTCAAGAGAACAGCGCTTGGATGGATGAAGATCAAGTTGACGAAGATGTCGAGATCGAGTTCAGGCGCGATGCAATCACGTCAAATTTCAATGACGACGGGATTTGCGTCGTGAACGCTGAGAACACATATCTATCTCCGGTCCGAATCGAAGAGCTGGTGATCTCTCAAGCTAACGACAGATACTGTCAAATGTTGAAAGAGAAAGTCGACAATGAAGAGACAAGTCGCTTCGACGTCTTCGACCGCGGCCTCCTGGTTCGCATTGCCCCTCTCGACGACTGCAGACAAATTGTCGTACCGACGATGTTAAGGCAAAAGGGGTTTTACCTATGCCACTATACAAGAACATCAGGTCATCCTGGGGATACAAAGATGTTGTATACAATGCGACGCACGTTCTACTGGCCTTCCATGGCATTGGAATGTCACGCTTGTATGAGACAATGTGACTCATGCGCCCGCGAGAGAGTACAATTGCGCAAGCACTCTACATTTTTGAAACTCTTTCCCGCGAGAAGACCGCTGGAGTTCGTCGCCATGGGCATTTTGGGACCTCTACCCCGATCGACGAAAAGGAACCAATACCTTTTGGTCATATCCGATCAGTTCCCGAAGATGACAAGAGCGATACCGCTGAAAAGCATCACATCAATGACGGTGGCAAGAGCCTTCGTCGAGAATTGGATTTATCCGTATGGACCACCTGCCTATCTTCTATCCGATAACGGTGGTCAGTTCGCGTCGAAGTTCTTCCAAAAGATTTGTCAAATCATGGGGATTCGCAACCTGTTTACAACAGCGTATCATCCTCAGACCAATGGTCAAGTGGAACGGTTCAACCAAACAATATTATCCGGCATACGCCATTATGTCGTGGAACATCAGAAGACAAGGGATGAGTACTGTGGACCTCTAACATACGCGTATAACACGCAAGTACATCGCAGCACGGGATGCACCCCATTTGAACTGGTATTTTCACGGCCTCCTGGGCCCATGGCCTTGGAATACACTCCCGAGAATGGCACAATGCCGGAAACTCGACACGAGCGTATGAGGCTGATGGAGCATCTCACAAGGCTCATACAAGGAGCTACCAAAACACTACAAGCTGCTCAGGCGCGATACAAGGAAAATTACGACAAGCATGTCAGAAAAATAGCAAGCCCTGCGGATGTTGTGGATAAAGTATTTGTGAGGCGAGAGGTACCTTTAAGTACGTAAAGTGGAGGGACCCCCAGGAATAAGCTACAGCCAAAGGCGGATGGACCGTTTGAGGTCATTGGTGCAGCCTCACACACAGTCACAATTATTCGTGATGGGCTTACCGAGACGTTAAACAGGGATTGGGTGTCAAAGAAGACCGCCCCAAGCCAAGCAAATATTGCACAAAGAGTCGAATACGACAATGAGTCTGAAGACGTACTACCAAACCCGCCCGCTGCCGACAGCAGGCAATCAGCGAGGTATGAGACTCGGAATAATTTCAATAATCAACAACGTGGTGGAACATCGAAAGAAGGCAGTGCTCAGGGACCTCAGAGACCTTTCTCTCACCTCCGAAGATCTCACATTCCTGAAACAGAATATGCCGTCGACGGCAGGAGAAAAGAGCACTCATTTGACGCAATTGTCGCGTATAATGATCAAAACGATCGATTCAGAGTCGGATAGACAGGTTACGACAACCAGGGCGCAATTTTCCCCTCAACGCAGTTGTACGCTACTTTCGCAGACATGGCCTGAATGTTCCAGAACACCTTCGCCACCTTCTGGCAACGACTCATTAGTCAAACATTTAAAATGGATGCGTATGGCCTCCAACAAGAACGTTATGGTGATATGGTACCGGGAAAATGGATATTCTTTCTGACATGCCCAAGGCAAGAGCTACGTGGAGTTCTATTCTTTCGTGAGGTCAGGGACCGGGTTATGTTAAGGGAACGTCGCATGCGCAGTGATGTAGGTCGTGGAAGACACCCGGAGGGAAGGGACACCTCCGAGGAGTGGAGAAATTTTCGATGCCTGTAGCGTGTTACAAAACACTTTATGAAGACTTGGTATCGGAAAACTCGATACTGTATGGGAAATGCTCAATGAGAGAGCATCGTTGAACTATGTTCTTTGGTGAAATCGACTAGTCCTGGTAAGGCGTGCGCCAGTTTCGCATTGGTCTATATCGTGAAGAACGCCTGGAGTAACGGGACACGTCGGGAATTGTCGCGATGGACATCTGCCAGCACGCTGATGGCACTGGCTGCCCTGCCAAACCGCCGATCCCGGAAGCCAAGTCGGCTTTCAGGAATCCAGACGAACGTCAGTGGACTGAAGCTCACACACCGCCAGACAGCAGAGACATCAAATCCGCAAAAATGAGCACAGCACCGGGGCGGCTTCGTTTTGGGCGGGGGCCGTGTGGTATCATTGCCAGGATGTGTACAGTACCCGACGGCGCCTGTTCATTACAGGCGCACGCCCACACGTGTGCATTACACGCATACGCGCACGCGCACACGGGCATTACAGGCGGACGCCTACACGTGTGTCTTACAGGCGGAAGATCTACTGTATACATTACAGCCCGGAGGTTGTATATGACAAGGTACAGTAGTAATGGCACAGTACAGTGCATTACATAATAGAGTACAGTAGTACAGTAGGACGGACAATGTCCAAGACCCCGCGAACTCGCTTATTTAAGCGACGGCGCCGGGCAATGACAGTAAACAGTCAAGGATCTTTTGGGAACGGATTTGCTTCGACGGTGCGACACCGCGGGTCAAAACAAGCCTCTGACTTAGGCGACATTGTCGGCATCTGTCTTGCGACCTTTCCCTGGCTTCTATTGCCTTTACTTTACCTTTTCCATTCCTCCGTCTTTGCGACTACGCGGGTTAAGACTAGCCTGTAACCTCGGCGTGTTTCTGTCGCTCAACGTTTCAATTGTTTTCCTTTTTACTCTGTCGTTGCGACCACGCGGGCTAAGAATGGCCTCTAGCCTGGGCGTATTACTGTCGCACGACCTATTTCTCTCTCCCTGTATTGTGACGATTGTCAAGTCGCGGGGTACGACAAGCCTCTAGCCTTGGCGGCACTATTGAAATCTGTCCCGCTCGTTCCCTCTAGGAGTTTCCGCTACTCGGCGCGCCGCCTGTGTCTGACACTGGTCTTTAGGCTCGGGTTCATCCCTGTTTTGTGTGTTGTTACACCACCCCTTCCAGTGCTGGTCCCATTCCGGGTCCGCACTTCGACCAGTACGTCGTGCTTTTACAGTCGGCCGACGTACTTCCCCTTTGCTCTACCACAGTCCCGATCTACCGCGGGACACCCCCTATTGGTTGTTACCTCTTCCTCGAGCTAGCTCATAGCTGGCGACCGCCACCATACTACAGAGAATTTTTGTGAAATAAAGCACTTTTGTGATTTGGACTTTTCAGCGACGTATATGACCGGTTAGTGGAATCACATGCGTCAACAAACGAGAATGCAGTTGGCCTCACGAAAAGTGCGATTCTAAGTTACCGTTCGTGAAGTTTTCGTGCATTCACAACACTACGAGGTCATATTTTCAATATCTGAAATGATTTTTTAGAATGGCCCGGTAGATTTAGTGGTTCGAATTTTGTTTTAGATTTTTTGGCGCGCGCGCAGCACACTTTTCTGATCGTATCAAACCTACCGCTGGTCTAGCTTGATGAGCCATTTTTATTGTAAAATATAGTATAGGACGGATATCTGTTAGTTTCTACTAGATCCAGGCTGATATTGTACTGGTGCGCACCAACACTTTGAAGCTGCATAGTGTGGCCATCCACGTGTGGAAAATGGGAAGGAGCATTGCTCGAGATCGCTTCAGTGTAAATGTATCGCAGCGTCGTTTATTAGTAGCCATAAACTACATTACTATACATTACCGCCAGCGGTGTTGGGTGAACCCGGCACATCCTGTTGACCAACAGTTCCCGGGTGCACCGGACTGACAATTTCGTTCATCGCATCTTCGTTCAGCTCTCGACGCGCGTCCGCGCAATGCGAGTCCCCCACAAACATCACATATGGCATCACGACTGCCAGCTGCCCTGGAACACGAACGTTCCTTTTTTTGTCCCTCTTAGACCAGTGCCCGGAAACCTCTTGCGCTCTCCGCCACACCAAATGAAAAGCCCGACTGGGCAGAGGAACTGCGCTTGACACATTTGGGTCTTCCAATATGGACGGCCTCCGCCTAGTACAACGCAGGCCCGCATCGAAGGTCTTGCTTTCCGAGTCCCATATGCGGTTGTTCCTGACCAACACAAGCTCTCCGCTTCCGGGGTTAGCAACATCCCTTTCGAAGGTGTTTCCGCAACTGTGCCCTGCAAAAACTGCAGCGGGGGCCCCGACATCGCTCGAATATACATACGTACCCATCAACCTCAACATTCCGACCCCCGCACTGCCCTCCTTCTTCAACATCGCGAGACGGTCCGCCTTATGGTATAATCCCAGAAATGAACAAAGCCCTGCCATGCGATTGAACAGTATGTAGAATGTCTGCGATGTCCCGGCCGGGCCCTGTGTCTCTGCATACTCAGGATAGAACACCAGACGCAATGTCGAGTCCTCGACCATGCAGCCGTATAGATTCCTCGCTATCAACTCAAAATCTGCCAGCTCGCAATCCGCAACGACCCGAATGAAGCTCTGCGTCATACCCCCTAAGGTCCCTATATTCATTTTGTCGGCCGACGTTTGTTCAATATGACTTGACGGCTTACGCAGCGACTTCTGCACTGCGACTTCCAGGCGGTGGCGCAGAAAGTTCACTATCTTCAGCACGGACTCATCCCTTGTCGACGACAGCCCCTCCGATATCCGACAACTGTTTAGCTCGACCTTCCGATTTAGCATGTCTACTTGGCCAAGTACTTGTGCATGGCTTTTCCTCAGTCGATCAACGATATCCGCGAGTTTTTTCATCCGGTACTGGTCAACAAATCTCCGCCTCTTACTGTTTTTTGCAATATCATCTCCAGTCCAGTCTCTATCCGCTTCATCCATCCCGTCATGAGCCTGTGGAATAACTGGCGTCCGCCATGTCAGTACCGGATTGTTATTCTCGTCTCCATCCAGCTCTGCGCGTCTCAATAAACGGCCAACAACGAATTCCACTTGATGAATATGATCACCGTATGCAGCCTTCTCCTCGTATTTCAAAGTAGCTGTCGCCAACACCTGAACCTTATCGTTCGCGGCCGTGGCGGGAGCATACTCAATATCCGTTACTTGCGCGCTGCACCACGTTGCTTCGTCGTCATCGTCTTCCAACATCCATAGAACCTCGACGAAATCATTCGGTAGAGGCAGAGCTTCTCTTTCTCGGCATGCCCGAAGGCGTTGCATTCCTCTGTCAAGGCGGACGCCACTTATCTTGTCGAAGATACGCGATAGGCGATCTCTGAGATGGTTCGGACGGGAAATAGCCTTGTCGTGTGGCGAGCGCGGATTCGGTCTGGGCATACCCCAGATATCCGCAATCCAAGCATTCTCCGGGGAGATTTTTATTGTCCAACGACTCATTCAAGGACCCCCGAACAGGAATTTTCTAACAAAATGGAAGAGTCGTGGCCACTCACAGTACGTTTGTGGGCGTTTTCACATTGATATTCACCAATACTGTAATGGGTGGCCTTTAGGCCGGCCGGCCAACTTTTTCACATGCTGTTATAGCTGCAGGTTCTTGGTATCCAGAAATTGAGGAACACCGCCCCTTTTTCCCAATGTCGAATACACGGGCCGCCAAGAAACGTGCTATACCCGAAGCAGCCAATGCTTCACCAGGCTCTAAGAAGATGCGTCGCAACAGTTCGGAGGTTCGTCGCCGGCCAAACGTTTCTCCGCCCAAAACAAGGGCTATTCTCTCGCAGTTGACCCCTCGAAACAGTCACGTCCAAGACGATAATGAAATTCTTTGCTTTGAGGTTTCAGATACTTTCGGTTGCTCGAACCATAGCTCTTTCATCTTAATGCTTCGCCCATCTATCTCTCTGTGACTAACGCGCGGCATAGTGTCACAAGAACGGTTATAATTTATCTACCCGCGAAAGCGTCAAGCGGGAGTCTGATTTCCAAGTTGAGAGGCAGCTAAGGCGAGAGGCGGAACACGTGGACGCCTTTATATGAGAGTGACTTCCGCGCAGGCATAAAATCAGGAGCATGTCTTGGTTCGGATGTGGAGGGATGTTTGGCAGGTGTCTACGACTACACTGCCAACAACAAGTTTAGTGAAGTGTCCACAACTGCGATTAGTCTCACATAGGAGGGACGAGTCTCTCTGTTCTAAAATTGCACGGTTGGAACGTGTTCCAACCATGCAGCCTGCATTACTAACGCGTTTCTAGAAACGATGTTCCCCTGCAACACAGTTCAAGGCTTGCAAATTGAGCTGCGATTGATTGACAAACGTCCAGTGCTTCATAGTTTTGACTGTTTTTACACTGCAGCAGGATCCGTGGCAGAAGGCCTCAGAAGTATACTGTGCGGCAAAGCGTCTTCGATCAAAAGCTTTGTAAGATCATTTGGTACCCTACAGCATCTACCTTTCCATACCTCAGTGCCGCACGAGAAGACTTACCGGTAAGGCAATTATGTCATGTCTTGTGACAGTACATTAGCACGACACAACTGAACCCTACTCTTGGGGTTGTTATGGTAGATGGTGCCTCCATGTCGGTGGATACAGCGAGCGGGCCCGGCTGGAAAATGGAGTGGGGATCCTCCTTCGCGATCATACACGTCCATAATGTAAATTGGGATCCATATTCCGCATCGGGATCATGATCAAGTTTTGAACAAGTTTTGAAGAAATCCCTTTGGGTCGTCCACTCGCTCCTTTTGTTTTGATTGTGTACATCATCTTCACACGCGTTCCCCCCGCATTCCCGTGAAATGCTCCAAGAAAGTAAGATTATGAACGTCATCAAGCGCAAATTGGTCCGGAAAGCTCTGGAAATGATCAAGGGGATCATGAAGAAGGACGATGAGGAGCCCGAGGCAGAAGAAGAATCAGACGAGTCGAGTGATGAAAAGACGAACGAGAAGAAGGCCAAGCCCTGCATCCAATTTTGGAATAAGTTTGGTAAGAGCATTAAGCTCGGTTTCATTGAAGATAGCGCAAACAGAGCTCGACTTGCGAAGCTCCTCCGCTTCCGCACTTCGAAAACTGACAACAAGACCCCAATGATTGGGCATCTCTCGATCAATACATGGAGCGCATGAAGGAAGATCAAGATCAGATCTATTATCACTCTGGTGCAGATCTCGAATCCGTCAAGGATAGTCCATTCCTCGAGAAACTGATCAAAAAAGGGTATGAGATCCTCTATTTGACACAGGCCATTGACGAGAACATGATCACCCAGTTGCTTGACTACGAAGGCACGAAGTTCATGTCAATTTCGAAAGACAACTTCAAATTTGGTGAGAAAGATCAAAAAGAAGGAGAAGAACAAGGCTCTGAAGAAAATGTACAAGCCGCTGACAAAATTCCTGAAAAAGAAGTTGGGAGACAAGGTCTCCAAGGTGAGACTATCAAACCGGCTCAGTGATACAGTGTGTGTGTTGGCATCGGACCAGTACGGTTATTCGGCGAGAATGGAAATAATTATGAGAGCGCAAGCATTGGCGGACCCCGACAGCTTCGGATACATGACGCCAAAGAGTAAGATTATGGAGCTTAATGCACACCACCCGATCACAAAAGAGATGCTACGCCTTGTAGAAAGCGGAGAGGACGATGAAAGGGCAGCCGAGCTTGGGCATCTTGTGTACGACACTGCGCTAGTTGCATCCGGATATGTAATGCGGGACAGTGACTACAAGAGCTACGCAGACAGAATGTACAAGTGAATTGGTGAGAGTGTTGGCGTGGATCCCAGTGCGCCTATAGTGGAAGAGTACCCCGAGGAGGAGAAGGCTGACTCAGAGGAGGAGAAGTCTGATGGTGACGCAAATTTGAAGGAGGCATCTAGTAGTAGCGCAGACCCTGCTTCTGAAGACCACAGTGAGGATTCTTCTGAGGACCATGATGAGTTGTTGTACCGTAGTCGAACAAGAGTGGAGGATGAGGTATTTATGGCTACGGTTTCCGTCTTTTAAGTCGGAGAGGAGATTAGCGGATGTGACCCGATTTCGATACGCTTTTTGGGGTTTAGCGAGCGATGGTAGTATCGTGATGACGTGACGGGTCGCGGAAGGATAGCCCCAGCCGTGTATACCGCCTGCCAGACGTTCTGCAAGCTAACCTGTCGTGTTATCTCTTGTATCGGAGCGAGTCGCCTCGCTCTAAGTTTTTTGTGGACACAAAGAAAGTTGGTCTCTACCACTTTCACGGAATCCATGTGAACACGCAAGGTCGCTGGGACAGCCGTAATAAAGGCTACAAGTTTCTTATTAGACTTGACACGGACGCCCACATGCCAAGTTGGATGCTATCCGGGTGGAAGCAAAGCCCACCTCAAAAACTCCCGGGAATAATCAAAGCGGAACATGGCATCTCCGTCCTCAACGTAGTTTTCATTCAAAAGACGATACGCTTCTTCGAGTTGCTTGTCATCGGTGACATCTATGTCTGACCACTCGAAAGAGTCATTCAGGTTGTAAGGTTTTTTCGATACCTGGTCAACCGTTTTAGTCTCAATGGCCTCACCATGATCACCAAGCAGGTCGAGTTGATCGTCCTGTCCCATCTGGGGGATCGGTTGTGTTTTCCAAAATTTATATTCTTTTTCGGCAGGCTTGCTATCGACGCCGGCAACGCTCATCGTTCCCATCAACTCCGCAAGCTTCGCCCTCGCATCGCTCCAAGAAAGCTCAAACTCCTTGTACGTGTTCTTTCTTTCTGTAGGCGGCTTGTCGCCGGTGTCTTTCTCTGCCATCGCAGTCCTGAGAGAGTGTGTTATTCAATTGAGATCGCCACGAGAGTTGATAGTGGCTGGAATCGTTCAGAAAGCGCATGCTAAGGGTGGGGCCGGTGCGACAGCGAGGGCGTGGCTTGCGTGAGAGGGCGCAGAGAAAGACAGAAGCAGAGAAGGACGGAAGGAGATGCGAGGGCAGTGGTCATGGTGGATTAGTGAGGGGAAACAAAGAGGAGGTTGGGGGATACCGGAGTAAACAACGGTGGACAGAGAAAGGCAGAGTTAATAACCTGTACTGTAGTGTGTATCCGACCGACCAAGCTTATCATACCTCAACAGATCCGACAAATTTAATAATTTTTCATCATTTATCCGACACGAATTCTTCTGAAAGAATACTTCAAGACAGCCATATCGCACTTGAACGGTGGGGTTGTCAATGAAATACCTTGTAAATCACGAAGAAGCCATTTTCAATTTCGTACTACAAAGAAAAACTGCTTACAGTGAAGATTTCCAGGTTCTGCTTCACTTTTAGAGGTAGAACTTGTCTCCACAACAAACGATTTGTTCTGATTGTGTCAAGGGCTATGTGGAGTACCCAGTAGTCAATCAGAACTAAAAAACAAGCAAGGAGTTCGAAGAAAAATCCCTTTGTCCTCAAATTTTGTCCTCACGGTCGGATAGACACTAGCAGACCGCCACTTGTAATGTAATTATTTGGTGTGCAAAATCTAAACCGCCAGGCCTGGGGACCCCTGCGCACTGTTCCTTCAACAACATCCTACACTCTCACTTCTTCCAACACCATAATCCACACGAAAATATCGGACGACAGCACCACCGTTCCTCATATGTCAGGTCGAAGAAAGAGACGTCGTACGATGGGCACTCCTTGGATGGACAACGTTCCTAATTTGCCAGACCTGGCAGCCCTGTTCCATGACGTTCATACACGACCAGGATGCGATCTCGATGGGGATGCAGATGCGGCCGCACTTATGGAAGCAGAAGAAACCCCAGCTCTCGAGCTTCCGGAAACTGGCGAAGCGGCTGATATTTTGGGAGTGTTGAATGGGCACGCTTCGTCGAACAATCAGACTGGAGATCATGGTACTAGATCGAAGATAAAGGGCTCGGAACATCGAGAAACGGTTGTCGTCGAAGAAGGAATAGATCTTGTCGACTATGATGAAGGCCACTTCCCAGAACTTGGCGACTCGGAACAATTCGCTCCCGAGAGCGATCCAAACGGCGTTTTAGTGGGAAATGACAATATCATTGTTCCAAGTATTTATGAAGAGAGCTGTGAGGGGATGGAGTGCCTTCCGAGTTTATCAAGTGACGATCCCGAAATGGGAAGCAGGTTGGACAGCCAGAAAGTTTTGCGATTATTTATATCGTCTCGGAAGCTTTTCGAACCATGGTACAACCTTTTGGGCTTCGTAATAGTTTGCGGTAGCGTCCGCTATACGGTCAAACAGTATAACCTCCTGAGAGATATACTGTCTTGGGTTTCTCCTTCTATTAAGTTCCCATCTTATTCCACCGTGCAGAGGACTCTCTTTCCGCATGCTTTGAAGTATCTGTCTCCCAAGAGTGACCTCAAGTACTTTGTCGTCCGACGAAAGAAGAAGGCATTCAACCGAACGTCATTGGTTGAAAATTTGGGGGGTAACGAGGAGACCGCATCGCAATATTCGAACGGGTCTAAAACTCCTGTTCGTATCGTTCCACCAAGTGAATGGGCGAAAGTGGACATCATGATGGCTCCGTTCTTCAACTCAATGTATCCGAAATCCAGTCGATGGCATGGTGGTGTGGCGGACGCAGAATGCATAGAAAGCTCGAAGCTGGTTGCAGAGCGGCAGATAATATCGGAAGCTACGACAGCACTTTACGTCCACAGTGGTTCATGTACTGTGCAGGCGTTCCCGGGTGCCGTGATTCGACTGGAACTGTCAAAACTGCTTCCATCACGTTTGTCACTTGACGTGCGCAATCTGGGCTATCGTGTTCATGAGAACGCAGAGAATAACTTTGTAATGAAGTGTATAATTTCAGCCGTGTGGTGCGTGGGAAGTGAGGGAAATGTTACAAGAAGCGCCAACATGGCGATGAAGGTTCTCCGTGGCGTGGAGAATTGCCTGGCCAGGCAGTTTTGTACAGCACCGCCATTGGAAAAGTATAATAGATCTGTGAGGCGTAGAGATGGAAGGATAGATTTTGAAGCAAGGGCTCGTTCTTCGAAGAAGGTGTTGCCTGGGGATATTTGTACCCTCCTTCGACCTACAGAAAGTGAAGCAGTGGCAACGCCGAGAATGTGTATGTTGGTTTCTAGGTTTTGGAAACACAAGGAAGGTCTCACCTCAGACACTTTTTTTTGGTTTCAAAACATGAGTACAAACGGGGCCGGTCAGCGTTTCAATGATGGTGGCGATGGAACTCCAGACAAACCCTTTCGTCTGCTCGGTACTCAACATTTGAAAGGGCTGCCTTTCCTCCTCCAAGAGCCCAAAATATCGGGACGCACCCGCAACATTGACAGAAGAATGCAAAACAGCGGCCGCTTAATGGATGGAACAAAGTTCGTGGTCTATCGCGCTCTCCTATACTGCGATGACTTTTCCCCATTCTCTTCATTGTATCCGCAAGGTTCAGCAAGTGGATGCTACATGATCCCGCTTGGACTACCACCGCGAAGTCGTAACACGCGATCGTCTGTCAGAATCATTGGATTAACCCCTCCAGGTGTATCAACGAACAATATACTGCTCTCAATCATTCCAGACTTGGTTAAGTGTACAACAGAAGGTGTGGAAGCACACACGCCTACCGGCGAGAGAGTAAGAATCTTTGTCGACGTGGTGGGTTTTGTGGCTGACTATCCAGCGGCCGCTGAAACATTGGATGTTATGGGACATACAGCAAATACGCCCTGCACTCTTTGTACATTTCCGAAGAACACCGGCGTCGGTGAGAGCGGATACGGCTATACAACAAAAGTCCATGCACACCGCACGGCGTCCTTGAGGTGCATGGAACGCCATGAAGCTCTTCGCAACAGCGAAATTGACAGTCGAGACACAAACCGGCTTGGTATGAAAGACAGCAACAAGGTTAGTGACGAAAGTTCTCCTCTTCTTGCATTGCAAAGGGAACTTGAGCGCGTACGCGTTGACATACCGTTAACAAGCGATGGAAAGCGTGTGGTGTCAGGACGTTTTGAGGCATATCGCTGCAACGTCGTCGCGCCTGACCATTTGCTGGCCGGTCTCGCGAAGAACGTTATCGAGGTAGGCTTCCACGTGATTAACCGACAAGGAAACGCGTCCGCGTTCAGGGCAAAAGCTGACATGGCAATATGTGGAGCCCTCCGAGACAATGGGTTGAAGAGGCAATCATCAGTTTTTAGTTCCAAGAATGAACTCAATTCCATGACTCTGTCAGGTGTGTTCTGTGCCCTTCTCGTGTGCGTTCCGGTTTTCTACCAACTGTTCCCGGGGATCCAGAGTGAAGAAACCACTGTTGTGTTGGATCTATTGACGCAATTGCAGGAATTGATTGCGTTGACGTACTGGTGGCCATCGGAAGAGGCGGATGGTGTCTCAGATTATTTGTATGTGACAAGTGATAATGGAGCTCAATACCATGCAGACTTGCTGGAAAGGGCTGAGAAGTATGTGACTGAGGCAGACAAGTTTTGCGCAAATTATTGCCAAGGAGTGGGTAAAGGTCGCCCCACCTTGGACAAGCCGAACCTGCACAGGTTAATCGAGTTGTACAACCACACAATTCCTGCCTTCGGGCATGTACGTCACTTTATGGAACTGGTGTTCGAGAATGCTCATCAACCTTTGAAGAGGTGCATAGTCCGGGGTAATCACCAAAAAGGACATTTGGCGGCCGTGGGTCATTGTTTGGGGAATGATTGGCAAGGGCGGTTGGCGTTGCTGTCCAGCACTATGACACAAACTTCGGATGTCGGACTGAAGATGGAATGCAGGAGAGGCCTTCGACGCTTGCTTCTCGGCGAAGCTTGCAACGAGTTGTCACAGGCTTCGGATGAACTGAAGGGATTCCTGAAGGACACAGATGTTAGTATATCTGATTTATTTGTCAAACCGTTGATGGACGAGATGCGGTCGAATGGGAAGGTCAACCCCGCTTGGACGGGAGATTCCGTACGATGGGAGGGGAATTGTGAAAAGGATGTCAATGAGCTGTCCAGCTGTTGCATATCAGAAACAGAAACGATAGATTCATCTGAGCTTTTGTCGCAGCTATTGTCACGGTCTACAAACATCCTGGAAAATCTCCGTCCAGA